AAATTTGGCGGCTACTAAGTCGCTTATGTAATTCGAACTTCTTTGTGTTTAATAAATAAATAATTAAAACAAATAATTAATAAATAAATAATAAATAACTAATAAAAAATAATAACTAATAAAAGTAATTAATTAATAATAAATAATTAACGCTACGTTACTAATAAATTATTGGAATGACACTTTAGATATAGCGTGATAAAAATACAACTCATCCAATTAATAAAAAGAAATTTTCATTATTTTTCGACTGCGTAACTTCATCTGTCTTCAGTCTGTCATTTTCTCTACACTCTCCCAACACTGTAATACAATCCACCATGAAACATAATCCTTTTTAGTTATGTAAGTACTAATATTTCGTTCTAAGTAAGAATATAACACCTGCCAATCATACTGCTCTGTTACTAAGTCTCATACTATTTAGACTTAAATTGAAATTTCATTTTACATTTTTACAAACGAGTTATGATCTTCATTTCTCCAGGATTTTGTTCTGAGATTATTTTAACTTGTTACTATCCATGGTCACTCTCACAGGTAATCAATAACGGGAATTATGAACGACATATAATGCATGTGTACAACAAAAAAATATAGCGATCCGTATGTACTAGTTTATTCTCGTACACTATGAATAATCTTGCTTATACAAACATTATGGTATATAAAATATACAATTTCAATTTATATTAATCAATCGATCACCGAACTTAAATTGTCACGTTCAATTAACTACGTCGCTCTATTGACGATTTAAGTATGCTGGGAACATAGTAATTTGAAATATGGTATACCTTCGTGCAATATACGACCAGGAAACTATTTAATATCACATTGATGCAATCCACTTCTGTAATTCTTCCTCGAAAGTACTCCTCACGTAATTCGCAACACTATTCACGACAAAGAACCACGTGATCACTTTTCATATCGAAATTCATTCGAACCGTTAGAAAAAGACAAAAATCAATTTGTCGGTATTTACTGGAAAATATAATTAAGCAGCATTGGTTGTAAATTCCACGATGTTTACGCTCAGTAATTGCACCGCACATGCGTGCTAAGCATTCGTTGTCAAATTTATAACTCTAGTCACATTGTATTCGTTTGGTATAAAAAGGAAGGACTTCGAGATCTTTGCCATTTCTTTATATACCAATTTTTCGCGGAATGCCAAACTAATAACTTTAGTCGAATTATTCAAGAAATAACGCACTTGTACACACTGATTGAAAAATATTTCAAAACTTAGACACGAGAATCACAATCGAAAACATAGCCGATGGTTAGATGCATTGCAATTACGTGCCAGGTCAGAATTTCACTGGATTTTCCGGGTATCCAAGAAAAGCAGATATGTGCATCCCATTCAATGGGCAATAAAGCACACTAAAACTGCAAGACTTAATCAATTTGCTTTGAATAGATCACTTTTTAGCTAACGACTACGGCCGTACAGAGCTTATTTTCAAACTGTTAATATTGTTCTGTACGTACCCTGTTTCGTGTCCGTACTCTATCGTAAACTTGGACATGTGACGTATTCAAAGTAGTGGGTAAGAAACATCCCTGAGAGACATTTCTCTTGTTACATTTTTTCCAACATGCGTAGTTTCATCATCATCTTGAAAGAGAGAGGAAGTAGATGGAAGCACGATCAAGAAGATTTGAAATTATCGGTAGATAGCAGCGCAGTAGCAAATATGGTGGCCGAATGACATTATACGACATTGTTCGACATTATTCTGCCTCGCTTAAGACTTTCCGACATAAATTATTCACATCTGTCATAATTTTTTATTACTATCAAGTAATCAGAATGATATTTGGTAGGTAGGTTTCATATAATGATCGTGGGTCGATGATACTGCAAAGTACTTCATTGCAGTGGTAACTTATTGGAACGTATCTTAAGATCGCATTTCTGAAAATGGGTTGCAGAAGAACATTCCGGATAAAAATCTCTCTGCTTAGATTGTAGTATTTAATCACGGTTAATGTTATATAACATTAATATAAAATTAAATTTCATTGTTAATAAATAAAAATCGTATATTGAATTACGAATGATACTAAATGCTCCTATTTGGAAGGGCACTAATAGTGTTCTTGTTAGTACAGAATACTAACAATAATTATAACTGCATATTTACGTCTCAGTAAAAAGAATATGTAATGAGGTACATATGCGTTAACTCTTTTGATATTCAATTGGATTCGACGAACTTAAATAATGTAATACTTCATAGTTATCAACTGAATAGTATTAAGTACAATGGAGGATATAAGAAAAATATAATAAACTTCTAAAATACATCATAAAAATTGCCCGTAAAAAATTAATGGAGCGAGGAAATTAAAAAATATAAATAAAATGGAATTATATTTTTATATGAGAATTGTATTTTATATATATTTTTTTACTTTTATAGGGATCTATATGCTTCGAATTTCGATCCTGTCATATGCAAAAGATGCATTATAATTCGCATTCCCGAGTTGTCATGACCTTTCTCTTTTCAATTGCTTCTCAATCTGTCTTCATTTTTCTTATTCTCTTTCACTTTTCATCGATTATGACATTCGAGCCATTCAACGTACGACTTTCGACTATGATCTTTTTTTTATATAACTATTTTTTACCTCAAAATAATTAAATCTCACAAATTGCTTTGAATATTTCGTATAACATTATATAAAAGAAAATATCCCACTACGTTTAATCACCATATTACTTTCTAAAAAATATGTTGTATTTCCCCGATAAGTAATTTTTCTATTCCACAACGATAAAGATTTACGCATTTTCTTAAGATGTAGTTAACGGATTTGTATCCTACTCCTTACCAAAGAATAGATATTTTATCTACGACGACACACCTGATAAAACATTACACAGCAGAATACCGCCTTCTGCATTGATCTTCTCTCGCCTTTCGAATCCTGCGTATTGAAAAAATCTTAGCACAGCTGAACCGGACCCGAGACAAAAGTGCGAAATCCCGAGTATCCCGAAGTCGTTAATGCACGTCTATGTGCACACACTGCATGGAATAGCTTTAACTCTCTCACAATGTCGCAGTTACGGTGGAACTGACACTTTTTTTCAAGTTCTGCAGCGCGCTCTATAATTCTGCATCACGAGCTAGAGAAACTAGACTATCGCGATGAATATTTAAGCATCAAAAGTACCAATTTGGCATACCAGTTTAATTATCCGATGGAACGTCACTTCTTATAGAATGCACGCACAAAGACACAAAATATTCCGTACATATAACCACCTTTCGGACAAAATCCCGATAAAGTGTAACCCGATGTCAGCTCTCGGAATCGCATATCAGGTAAAAGTCTAAAGCGTCCACACTCTCGCGGATTTCTACAAATATCTTTGTCTAACTCGCTATCACGACTATGGTTCTTCAAACGAATTCAACAATTCCGTATCAAACCGCGTTTACGATTCGATATATACGAGACTCATTTTATTACGTGTATTATTATATCGAACAGTTTTCAGCTAGCACCGGTACACGTTCCCCGAAAGTCTTGATGCACTTCGAGGTCTCACTGTACGAGACATCGGGTCGAGCGCTGCTTTTCGGTTCACAATAATTCGTCGTGGTGGTTCATCATTCATTTCTGAATATACATACACATAAGTAAAGATGACAAACATGTATGAACACGAAACTATTTTCCTACGTATCACAAATGAACGAGCCGCGACCGTTAGAGGGAAATTAAATCCCTGCGAGATATGTCGTGAAAATAATCTCCTCAATATAGTGGAAAATCGATCATTTCTCTTCGCAAGACATTCCTTTATAATTACAATCGCACTACCTATGAAGAAAGAAGCAAAATGGCAACCCTGAAGGGCGCACAATGTACAATGGCTGCCATTAATGGCAGCTAGGCTAAACGATTTCACGTGGTTCTTCGTCAATATTTTTTCTGCCATATGTTACTCACCTTTTATCACATCCGAATACTTACAATTTAAACCTGATATATCTTGCTCTTTCTTGTAAGGGTATTACTTACGTTAATGGAACGATACATCTGATTAGTTTCGATCGAACAACGAATTTTATTGTTTTCTCGAATTAATCTCTGTGTGGGACACAATACAATATACATGTTTTTCGAACAATCAATAATTTCGAGTCCTAAAATATATATTTCAAGATTCTAAAAATAAATATACGTTGCACAAAATGTAATATAATTTTGTTCATTTCCTCAACAGTACACTTCTATATATTGATAACTATCATTATCTAAATAACAAAATAAATACCAAAAATCAAATATGCAGTTATTGCGTGAAAATCGTCTTTAAAACAGGAATTGTGGAGTAAATGCAAATAGAAAATCTGGTATATGTGTTTTAATTATTCCTCTAATAATTGTTGAAGTTTCCACCGAAACTCGATAATCCAAAATTAATTGCCGATTACTTGATCCAAGTTTTGGGTCTTCTGATGATTTAGGTATCCGATATTAGTATGTTCTGAAGGACGAGAGAAACACACCTTCGTCTATGGAGGTCCGCCATTTACGACTCGTGCGATTCTAGCTTCTATATCCACTTAGTAAGTTCGAGAACTCTCGGTGACCAGAAACGAGTTTAGCCGGAAATAGCCGAAGTTTCTATCCCAGGTTTCACCATTTGTTCGATTAAGTGATACATGACTATTAATAAAACTGGAAACATCCTAATAAATAAAAATACAAGGAAATATTACTTTCACAAAAGAATATAATATAAGTTCACTAAAAAAATATATTGTAAAAAATATTTATATTTATGTAGAATTGTAAATATCTATCTTTTACGATGAAAATGATATTAAAACAAATAGAAAATAATAAGAGAAGTGGTAAAAAATCCATTTGCTCCTCACACATAAATCTGATATTTAAATTAAGGATGTAAAGATTATATTACATGGTCATATTTAGAGTATTAAGGTTTCACTTAATAAAGCCAAGAAGAAATGTTGAATTTTAATTATTACTATATTAGTTTCAATTTATTTCAGTAAATAAATGAAATGACTAAAATTACAATTACAGTTTGTATTTATTTGTGACGTTTTCTTAGATTTCACATAATGTAATATTTAGTAACTTTATTTACAAATTATCAGCCCAACACATGGCCAATAAACTTTAGTTTTTGTCTAGGATTTGATTTATTTACAAAAATTTTCGAATTACGAAACAATATTTCGAATTCGCGAGTTCACGGGACAAATATTTTGCGATATTACAATCAATAAAGCGCAAAACACTATTACTCTTTTTTTTACTCGTTAAAAAAGTTGAATTAAAAGTCCTCTTTACAATTTTATAAGAAACGATTTTCTACCGAAAATTCGTCAAGCGTTACTATTCTTATAAATGAATCTAACGTAAATGCAATTTCGTGAATGACATCTCGTTTTATATCGTTCTCGTTCTATGTGTACACGCACACACCGCGCACACACACACACGTGCGCGCACGCACGCACACACGCGCGTTCTTTTATAGATTTCAATTGTAATAGCCTCTCTTAAGGCAACATTGTTGTCTGTAGGTGATATTTAAGGATAAATGTCACCGTCTATTCCTTTTTTTTTGGTACTTAATAACACTAATACATTTGTTGTTGGCAGTACTTGTAGTAATTACACTCCCCATAAATAATTTCCAATGGCTTTTTTTATCTTTTATATAGCATAGTTTTGCAGAGTTATGGACGCATTATACGTATAAGTCTAAACAAGAACAGAGATTGATCGAAAAAAATAAATTTGAACATTATGCACACCTTCGCCACATAGAAAAGCATTCGAACGATAGGAATATTAAAAATTTGATCTTCAATTATACTAGATAAAACAACATATTACATATATTTCATCAAATTTTTTGATTTAATGAAATGAAAATTATATGTATACAAGGCGCTGAAAAGATTTGTTGCATTTCTCGTAGCCTATATAATCATTTGCAGCACATCTGCAATATATTTTACGAAATTCTTGTTTTACGCTTCGAAATTTGTCATTTACGATGTTTTGTAATAAACTCAGAAAATATCCGTTTCTTGCCGTTTTTGTAATCAACATTTAGTGTACAATTACGTGATTGAACCAAAAATTTTCACAAATATTTTCATAAATATACTCATGATTATTGCAAGACATTCCTGATTTATGAAGTTGCACTCATGTGATAAAGATATTATTTTAATTAAAAAATTTCGAAAAAATAAGTAAAAAGACGGAATGAGCACATTCAAATAGGAAAATCAATTTTATTAAATAGAGCATTGTAAAACAGGCGGTATATGTAACAGAAGTTCATGAATTCTGTAATTCAATGAAATTATTTAATTGTCAGTTCATATATGTGAACACGAAACGAAATTTAGAAAAATATTTTCATTCATTAACATCATGTCGGATCCTTTTAATGTCCTTACTAGGTTCGAAAA